GCTAAGAGCTTGAGGGTAGAGGTACTGGGGAGTCAAGAAAAAAGGAAAGGGTTGAGATAATTACCTGAAGAGTGGGACAGTAGCAGAATAAAAATTCAGACTATAATTGCCTGGTAGAATTAAATAACTACTTGAAATTTGCGGTTATAAATGAAAGTGAAAACAACATAGTTATGAATTTATTCCAGCTGTGTGTTTACATGCACAGCTGCAGATGCTAAATAGGCCAAATTGAATTTAACTAGAGTTGAGATTTTACTAAGCCAAAATGATGAATCAAGCAAGGGCAGAGGAGTCCAGGGCATGTGTGAAAGATTATAATGAATTACCATGGAATTCTAGCTAAACAAGGAAGGTATTGTGTGCATTAAGGAGAAAAGGAACAGTTAAATAGCGGTCAGATCGGATGGAATAATTTATTGAAAATACGTATGGGGCTGAAGAACAGTTGGGGTTATATAGTAGAGGGAGTGGAGTGGAAAGAGAGGAAATTATAGAGAGTGAAATGCATAGATTTTAGATTACTTTTTTTAAAGAAGGCAGAGAAGAAAACACATAAAGAATATATAGCTCAAAAGGAATTATTCAGGGAAACTGGAGAAAAATATAGGCTGAAAGAAATTACAGACATTAAGTCTTTAAATACAGCTCATAAAAGATCTTAAAAGATAACAAAAGGGAAGAGAACAATTTAAAAAGCCTTTCAGAGGCAAAACCATTTGGCAAATGAACACCAAATACAATAATAAATGTTCAAGGATAGATGGGACAGAATAAATTATACACAATGAAATAATAAAGAATTATAATATAAATATTATTAAAAATATAAAAGGAGATAAAGAAAATCTAGCATGTTTACATTATGTACTTTTAAAAAGTGAATATATTTAATTCAAAGATAAAAGAAAGTTTAACAGAGTATTTGAGTAGAAAAGGTCATGTCACGTGTAAGGAGACAAAAACATTTGGTTGTCCAGAGATCTTTCTGCAGAAAAATGCAATGCTGGGAACCTTGAAGCAACATCTGCAAAGTTCTAAAGGCTTTATAGTCCTAGGGTTTTATAGTTATTAAGAAAACAAACACTTTTTCAAGTGTCTAAGAAATTAGGGACCACAGACATTAAGAGCCCTTCTTGATTAAAAACAAATTACTGGAAAATAAAATTCACCCAATAAAATAACTAATAAAAATTAAACTCAAGGACAGAAAAGCCATTGTCATAAGATATTTGCTTATCCTTGATAACATTACTATATAATAAATTACAAATAACTGAATATTATGGTTTCAGAGTGGAATTCAAATTTTATAAGCCCCTAATATATAAAAATAGTAATATTACTAACACGTATAAGATATATGAGAGGAGGTGAGGTCAAAAGTATAAGAATACTAAATGTCCTCATCTTGTCTGTTAACAAATCAATAGCTATAATCTGATATTAAATTATAAAGTTAAAAATGAGTTATTACTCTAATCTCTAATTCTTTTAATTTACTTTTTTCTTAACCAAAAGAGTTATTTTAGAAACTAGTATCTCTTGTGTTGAATAATGAAAACTATCTCACTTCATATAATTTTATTATATTTTATTAAATTCAAGTAAAATTAATCTGAATATTAGTATTTTAAAATGCCACTATCCTATGTTATCTTTCTATCCTTGTCTCTCTTTTTTATTATTAAATTCATTGGGGTGACATTGGTTAATAAAATTATATAAGCTCCAAGTGTACAATTCAATAATACATCATATATATATTGTATTGTATGTTGACCACCCAAAGTTAAATTTCCTTCTATCGCCATATATTTTACCCGCTTTAGCCTTATCTACCTCTCCCATCTTTCCACCTGATAATCACTCAACTGTTGTCTGTGTCTATGAGTTTCTGTTTATTTGTTCTGTTCACTTGTTGTTTTCAGTTTTATATTCCACATATAAGCGAAATAATATGGTTCTCAACTTTTTTGTTTGATTTATTTAGCTTAGCATGATAATCTCAAGATCCATCCATATTGTTGCAAATGGCTGTATTTCAAAATTTTTATTATGGCTGAGTAACATACCATTGTATATATGTACCACATCTTCTTTATCCAGTCATCTGTCAAAGAGTCCTTTGACTGTTTCCACGTCTTGGACACCATGAATGATGCTGCAGTGAACATCGCGGTGTACATATCTTTACAGGGAGATGTTTAAAAATTTGGGGGGGTAGATACCCAGAAAAGAGATTGTTGGATCATATGGATAATTCTATCCTTAGTTTTCTGAAAAACCTTCATACAGTTTTCCATAGTGGCTGTACCAATTTGCAGTCCCACCAGCAGTGTATGAGGGTTCCTTTTTCTCTGCATCCTTTCTAACACTTGTTATTACTTATCCTGTTGATGATAGCCATTCTAGCGGGTGTGAGGTGGTATCTCATTGTGGTTTCGATTTGCATTTCTCCAATAGCTAGTGAAGTTGCAAGCTTAGGAAACAGAACTGACCAAATGAAGAAAAGAATTAGTAATATCAGACAGAATCTGGAAATGATGCAAATGGGAAAAGAGAGAGACTTGAAAGAGAAAGACAGACAGACAGACAGAACTCTACGAGAACTATCTGACTCTATCAGATAGAGCAATATAAGAATAATGGCTATATCAGAAGGAGAAGAGTGGGAGAAGGGAACAGAGAGACTATTCAAACAGATAGCCAACAAGAACTTCCCAAACCTATGGAAAGAACTGGATTCTAGAATCCAAGAAGCAAACAGAACACATTATTATCTCAATCCAAAAAAAGACCTTTCCCAAGGCATATTATATTAAAACTGACAAAAATTAATGACAAAGAAGGAATTCTCAAGGCACCCAGGGAAAAGAAGATGGTAACCTATATAAGAAAACCCATTAGGTTATCATCAAATTTTTAAGCAGAAACTCTACAAGTTAGGAGGGAGCAGAATCAAATATTCAAACTATTAAAAGAGAGAAATTACCAGCCAAGAACAATATATCCAGCAAAGTTCTCCTTTAGATATGAAGGAGAAATAAAGACCCTTTCAGAAACACAGAAGCTGAGGGAATTTTCCACTACAAGGCCTGCATTACAGGAAATACTGAAGGAGTTATTCTACCTGAAACAAAAAGACAAAAATACAAAACTATGAATAAGATGACTAACAGACAGACAGAAACACGTAATTGCAAACTTTGTTCAGAGTTGGGTATTATACACTTAAATATTACATAATGGTTAAAGGAGGTAAAAAATATTTTCAAAAGAGAAGAAAACAATAACTACTGCAACTCAGAAATGAACTCACAGCATAAACAGAAATAATCTGAGAAAACAAAAAAACAGAAAAGGAGAGGGGGTAAACATCTGAAATTACAAAGGGAAATGGAGATAAGATGCACTCACAAGAAAAAGGGCTACTATATACATAAAACTTTTTTTTACATAAACTTAATGATAACTACACATAGAAAAATCCAGAATTGAGACTTGTAACATAAAAAAAAGAGGGAAGAGAAGAAAAAAATCAAAGAATACCACCAATAAGATGACAGACAGAATCTCTAACTTTTCACCAAGAATGAAAGAGACAGACTTACATGAATGCTTTTCACCAACTGTTAATGATGATTTGGGGAAGTTTATATGACTAAATGAAAAAGTAAAACACCCAGTGTTTGAAGGAATATTGAGAAACTGGCAATCTTACATATGGCTAATGAAAACCTGAGCAAAATTTTCCTTGTAAAATTTTAAGTAGTTTAGTACTTCATTTTTTTTTTTTATAAAATATATCTAGTTATCTATCTAGCCATCTTCCTTTATAGCTATATCTTTAGGGGATATATAAAAATACTCCAAACTTTCAAGAGAGGTTATCTCTCGATGGTGAGTTATATATGGCTGGTTATATATTTTTCTCATCTGCAATTTTTAGTATCCTACATTAACATGAAATACCATATATTTCAATTCTAAGATGCACATATTTCATATCCCTAAAATCGAGATGTGATAAAATCATTAGTATCTTAGATTCCATGAATTTGTTAATTTTGTAATTGAAATATTAGAGTACTTAAAATGAAGGAGGGATGATAATTTAAGAGACATCTCCCAGAGAATTAACTGGTCTATTTACCTTAGAATTGACTCGGAGAGTTCCAAAACAGAAGATAACAATTTGGTTATAGCAGAGGTTGTTCTTGTGCAGACTCAATCCAATTTAGACAGGAAAGACATATTCAACAAGGAATGAAATTATTTACCATAATAGACAAGGATATTGGAATGAAAAAAAAATACATAAACCTGTTTCTGTAGCATTTCTTTGAATTGGAGTGAGATGTTCTGAGAAAGAACTTACAGGTTGGGCAGTCAGTATGAGACTAAGAAAGCATTGGAGAAGTCTCAGATGGCCACATATTCTTTCTGAGTAGAGTCTATTGATGAAATTACTTACTCGTGAAATGCAACCAAATTTTGAAACTGTTTTTTGCCCTTGCAAAGCTGAATGTATTTTACTCGCAAATTTGATAAATGTAATTTCCACAATTCTCACAAAAATATAAAATCTTATATTGAATCAAAAGTGACCCCAACCCTCTCTTCCTGCTTAACTCTATCATTTGTAACTCCACCCAAAACCTTTTTTTTTTTTTTTTACCAAATCTTTTCCTTGATTATGCCATAAGTAGAATACATTATTTCAATAATATATTTCCCTCGGCCTTGGAACAGATTCTTAAGATATCTTTACAAGTAAGTGAGAGACAGGAAATGGTCATCTTTCCCAGAATTTTAAATCACCCTTTTGCTGAACTTTAAAATAATGACTAAAGAGTGTCAAGGCTTAGAAAATTTTTAATTTGTATCAGACTCTCTCATACAAAGGAGAATTCTGGTACCTATATGTACTACAAACACTTACTTTTAGTTTCATTTTCCAAAATCATTAAATGAAAATTTTTAAGAAATTTCCTTACCCAGTGAGTTTGACTGCATGTGTCTGAAGCTTTTGATATTTTTCTGATTTTTCATTTGTGCTGGTAACATGTCTGTATATCCCAGACTTGTAATGGAAGAAATCTTCATGGACTTGCATTATGGCTAAAACAAAATCCGACAGGATAAATGACACGGTTTTAAAAAATTATCTTTAAAAACCTCCAGAAGTTCTCCCAGAACAATCAATGAGTAAATTGCCAGGAGTAGAACCTAAGACAGAATTTTGCAGTACAGCCTAATTTTGATTCCCACTTCATTTAATTGGCTGCAATATTTTCTTGTTCTCTTATAAAAACAACTTTGAGCTGTTTGAATATTACTAAAGTACACATTATACCTTTAAGACACATTTTTTCTTAATCGATAGAGGCACTATTACTAAGAATTGAGTCCCTTGCAGTGAAGGCCCACTACACTTGGCTGGTGATTGCTACTTCTCCATTAACCTTGTGCTTTACCACAAGCCTCTTAAAACTCCAATTAAGCTAGCAGTGAAGGGTGAGCCTAGCAAACCAGGCTTTAAGTAATTGTCTTTAATCCTTAGAAATAAAAACAACCCTTTCTTGGTGAGTTTGAATAAAAAGCAAATCCTCAGCAAAAGAATACTTTGACAAGATTTCATCCTCCCAGCTCTGGAGAGCTAAGCCAATGTTGTATTCTTTAGAAAGTAAGAGCTTATACTTTATAAAGCTCTCCTTCATTTCCTCATCTAGATTACTTCTCTTCTATATTGTGTGCTGTTTTGAAGGACTTGGGCAACTCGGGGTGAAGACTTTAAACTTCTCTTCTAGAAAATGTGAATTGAAAATATTTTTCATAATTGTGTACCTTCACAACTGTGTATAATGCTTGCCTACCTTAGTTTGGCATGCACTTTAAATAAAATAAAAACTAAGGTCACTGGCATTTGACAGATGCTAAAATGAAGCTTATACTCCAAAGTCAAACGTAACTTTTTAATGTTCTTTTTATTTCATTTTTTAATGTTCCATGTCTTTTCTGATACTGTTCAAATATTCTCAAAAGAGGTTAAATTTTCTTTATCTACTTTAAAACATTCTCATAGGTTTTCTAAGAATTTATATAACTGAACTCTATACAGATCTTTGCTTTTGTTCTCTTTCCATAACCTAAGTTTATTTTTAATTCTACATATTTTAGAAGAATGCACACAGTGTTATTTATTCAGCATACTGTTGCCTTTTACATTCTTTTGTAGTGAGACCAGGGGAAAAAGCTATATGTTAGCCCAGCCAAAAATTTGCAGACAATCATGTTGATTCTGCAGCAAGATGAGTTAACCAACATTTATAAAAATGTGAGGATGTTGCTAGTGGTTTTTTGGAAGAGGTTTTTCCTCTTCTAAAGAAGAGTTGGCTTCTTTAGCTTTTCACACCATGAATAAAATATACTTTTTGCTGAAAAACACTGCCAATCATAAAGAAACGTGGGTGAGAAGCCATCACAATTAACTTGAATGCAGCTCCTTCCTTCAGTTTCTGACACCAAAATAGATTTGATGAATCCACAAACATATAACTATATAAGCTATCGTAGTGCAATTTTATTTTTGGAAAACCATAGCAAGTTATACAGAATAATAATAAGTTTGAGGGTAGGATTAAGCCCACTGTCATTCCAGCTCTGTCTTTTGCCCCGGGCTCAGGCTGGCAGGAGACATGTTCTCAACAAACATTTGTTCAATGGATGTTGACTATTTTGCATTTCAATTTTATTATTTTAAAATTTTATCTATTTATTTTTGATTTGTTATGTGAAATTCACGAACATTTAAATATATGGCCATGAAAGAAAACTAAGGTGTTTTCTATTTTTAAATAATTATATTACAAATTTCTTTTGACAGAGAGAGGAAACTTAAAACAGTAATATAATGATCTGAAGATTCAGAGAGGTTAAATAACTTGCTCAAAGTCATTTAAGTAGCAAAGGTCAAAGTTAGATCTTCGAATTTAGCTTTGAGTTCAAATGCCTTCAAACTGTCTCACAAACTTCACTTATTGAGGCATATATTGAAATTACATATGAATTGTCCTGCTCTTGTAATAAACACCAAAAGTGATACAACTATAAGAAGAAAAAAATTATGTTAATGTGTTTCAGGTTTTGTGTAAGGTACCTGGATTTTAAAAATTAAATTTGGGACATATCTAATGTAAGGTTCAGTTTCTCAATGAATGTTAAGTGGTAATAATGATTAAGAAAAAGCATTCCAACATAATTTTAAAATTTGTAGTTCCTGCTAGATGTTGAATCAATACTAATTAGGTCAGCATTCAGAAAAACAAACAAACAAAAAACTGGCCAATAGTTCCTTATGTATATATCAAATGTTTTACATTTAATTTTGATTTATTTAAATTTCTTTGGTTAATTTAAATTTATTTGATTTATTCCACTGCATTGATAATATACATAGGCTCTTTCAGTGTTTACAACTTGAATTTCCATTTTAGACCTCACTGGATTTTTTTCTTCCACTCTCTCCAAGAAAATGTTTAGAGAATAGACACTGAGAATGTATCCTTATGCCATTTGTGGAAAATAAAATATAATAAGTAAGCAGAGGAACTATGTATCAGAGATAATATTATAAAAATCAGTCAGTGTACAGTAAGTCACTGTATTATTTTTTATTTACTGTTGTTTACTATGCATAACACATTTACAAAGTTATCAAAATAGAAAGCCTTTATAAAACACAAATCATACAGGCTTATTTGATTTATTTTGAGTTTATAGAAAAAGGAAAGTATCTACTTTATTTCTATTGATAAGCCTTGATTTTTTTCAGTCCATTACCTGATCTATTTAAACTGAAAGCGAGAAAATTTCTAACACTATATATGATTTTTAAATATGACCAAACAATTAAATGAGCTCCATCACTTAGCATTTTATGTTTGACTGCTTGGTCCATGATCACTTTGGAAAGATTTATCAGATTTTCATTAAATATGTCATTAATATTTAAGGATTCAATTTATGGATGAGTTTGTCTTCTTAAAATGACACCTAATAAAGTTATTAGGTGAAGATACCTCCCATAAATGCACTGATCTTAGAACTGTTGAACTCTTATAAATACTCTAAAAAGAAAAATTTTCTTTCACTCAGCTCCTTTTCCATGAGTAAAATGTAATGTTGTTTACTAAAGGAAAAAATAAGATACAATCATATTTCATGCAAGCCTACCTTGGACTGGTCCATTGTGTATGATTTCTTTCATTATTTCAGTTTCCTAGAAGAAAAAATATCAGGGGCATTTTTATTGTTATCAGAGTACTAAACCCATTGTCTGGTGTATAATTTTAGGTGTTATACAATCAATTTAGGAGTTATGCAATCCAATGTGCCTTGACCACTTGAGATTAATCATGCTTTGAAATACTTACATATGAAATGCCACATTGATGAAGTTGCTAAAGACAAGATGCGCTTGTTTGTTTCATTGACTATTACTGATAATAATTTTGGAATAGAGAGAAAATATAATAACCATTTATGGTCACAAAAAATAATTAAGTTAAAACCATGTTTAATCAGTGGTGATTAGTGCCACCTCCATTCTTTTAATCACAGGAGCAATTCTAGATGCTTGTTTAGTGAAATTCCTCAGTGTAGATTTAGCATGCAAATATTTCTATGTTGCCACTCAATGTGTAAAGCAGCTCTTAGTAAAGATCTAGGTCATTCATTCATTCATTCATCCATGCACATGTATCACAGAGTACATATCACTGAAAACCAGGATAGAAACAAATGTTGACCCTACACCTATCCTCCATGTATTTACTTTTTTATGAAACAGAAAGACAGTAAACAATTAATTGCATTATAAAACAATAATTTCTATTATAGAAACAAGCAAAAAAGTGCCATCGATGCATACAGGAAAGGGAAATTAATCCCACATAAGAGTCAAGAAAACTTCGCAGAGAAGATGAAATACTGACCTGGGCCTTGACACATATGTGGGATTTTGCCAGGTGCAAACAGATGGAATAACCATTTGGGTAAAAGGAATCATCACTTGGCTAAGTAGAGAAGCATGAAAGAGCATGGCGTATCTAGAAAGCAGATAGTAGTCCTTATATCAGGAGCATTATGGGAGGGTGGAAGAATAGATGCTGGCAGGACGTGAATCTGTAAAAGCAGTAGGTCAGAAAAAAATCATGAAAGCCTGTATGTTGTAGTAAGAATATGGGATTGTATTCTGCAGGTAACTGGAAGCCACTGAAGGTTCAGATATTCTGAAAGTAAGGTCTGGGTAGCACTGATATGGAGTAAAATTTGCCAGTGGTTTTAATATGACAAACTGGAATGCAAGAGAGTCTTTTTCCCATCACAGCTATTCTACTTCAATTATTTTATGGAGTAAGGCAAAGGATTGATTAGATGAGCTACTACCACAAAAAGTCAGTTAAAATGTATTTGTTTTAGCCATTATCTGTCAAGCATATTAATTAATTAATTAAAACATAATTTAAAAACTCTATTTCCATGGACATTTTAAAATTTAAGCCAATCATTTATACTGCTAATATTACTAAGATCAGAAATCATACCCAAACTGGAAGTCTTTAATGGAAATTTTAAGAATATAAAAAATTATATGTAAAAACATAGTATTACCTTAGAATTAATAATTTTAAGTAGTTTTTAAATAGTTTTAATAAAAGCAGACATATATATATAACATATACATATATGTTAGCAAGTCAAACATTGTTAATTCTTACCATTTAGACTTACATTGGAAGAGACTCTGTATGGAGGAGAACACTGGTAGATCCTATTAGATTTCTCGATGTTGTTGGGACATGGTTTTGTGGCATGCCGTTTTCCCCGCCCATCAGATCTACTTGCCATGGCGCAGGCATTATTGGTAGTATTTTGATCCTTGAGAAATGGGTAGCATGCGTGTGATACCAGCCTATGAGGAATAAGCAAAGAAGTTATGTAGTTTAGGAAAATGCCACAGTATCCTATCTACATGCAGTTTTACTGAATTAAATACTTATAAAAATTATTCTGTCTACTTACATGTGTAACTTTCAAAATGTTAACTGATTCTAACACAGAAGTTCAATGACATTACGCTCTTTCTTACCCTCCTCTTATTTCTTTATTATAATTTTTAAAATCTTGCTTCAGTCTACTTTAATAAGAAATTCTATCTATAGTATAGAATTTCCTGAAGATAAAAAGTGACTGTCAATAAAATCTGTAGTAATATTAATAGGGAAAATACTCCTTCATTCTGCATCTATAGAAGAGCCAAATTTAAAATGCAAAAGACAATGAACTTATTACTTAGATGGGGCATTCTGATAAATTATTTAAATTTTAGAATTGAAGTTTTTTTTATATTTTTGTTGTTATAGATACTTTCTCATAAGACTTCAACTATTATGTGTCTGTAGTTCATGACACTTTGGAGAAATAGTATATACTAATATAATAAAGTTAATAAAGTAGAAAGTTATCAGACATACACATTATACAAAAGATAAAGAAAACAAATTTAGTCTCTAATTTTGAAACTGAACATAGAAAAGTAGAAAATATTTGGCTTCAAATCTAACATAATTAGTTGACTATAGAAGCAGATGGCAAGAAAAATAAAGCAATGGAATTGGTTTTATAGATATTAAATGTTGAACTGGCCACAGAAATATGCAATAAGATTGATTCAAGAAAATTCAATAGTGTTCAATAGAGTAAGAAAATCTGAGCAAGGAGCATAATAAAAATAAAACTATAAAAAACACCAAACATTACATTAACCGTTGTTACTTTGGAATAATGAGTGCTATGGATTGAATTGTGTCACCCTAAATTCATATATTCAGGCCTTAATTTCAATGTGATGGTATTTGGAAATGAGACTTTTGAGAGACAATTAACTTTAAATGAGGTTATGAGGGTGGGGCTCATAATGGGATTAGTGTCCTTATAAGAAGAGAAAGAGACACTAGATCTCTCTCTGTCATGTGAGCACACAGGGGGAAGGCAAGCCAGGAAGAGGTCTTTAAGAACTGAATGTACTAACACCTTGATCTTGGGCTTTTCAGCTTTCAAGACTGTGAGAAATAAACACCTGTGTGTAAGCCACCCAGCCTCTGATATTTTGTTGTTAACCTGAGCAGACTAATACAATGAGGTTTAGTTGGATCTCAATAATAATTTGTACTTTTAAACTTCTAAAAAGCTTTAATTTTTATTATAGTACAAAAGAGAAGCCAACCAAACACTATTACTCCAGGAAGGTATCAGCCATGTTGTCTATCCCAAGCAATCACTTTATTAGGCAACGCATATGAAAAAAAAAATTTTTAAGAAATTTATTGAGACATATCTGACACCCATTATTTCATAGCACCTCACCTTTCTATGGCAGATCTGGAGCACTCAGTGGGTGAGGAAACAACAGATGAGTACAACATACATATACTATTAGTTATCAGCTACTCTTTCCTTAGCTGAATAGAATAACTCAGCTCTTAAGTAGATTAGCTCTCATAGCAGATAGAAGGACGATGTGTGGGTATCAGAATACATGAAAGTGAGAAAATGCAGCCTGCCTTTTCTCATCAAATGGGAAGGTGACAATTAATGATATTGATGAATTGAGGCAATTATATATTATTTCTTTATTTTATTCATCTGATTCTTAATCTAATTATTACCTGATATTGTCTATTCATCTTCTGGGTAACTAAAAGTTTCGACAAAGGTATCAGTAGTATCAGTTTTATCTATTTGCTTCATGAGGATTAGTAGAGCCATTTGGCTCAAAGCAACAAGAAGACAATGCTTCCTTGAGTCTTCTTTTTAATTTATGTAGGAATGTATACATTCTTCAAATAATTGTTTACAATAATTTATAATGTCAGTAGATACCAGATATAGTATATATTTAAATATAATATATGTATGTAGATTTACCATATATATATTTGTAGATTTTTGTAAAAGTCTTTAAATATATATTTTTTCCTTATTCTAACCCCAAGCTGTACTTATAAGAATCCTAGAAATACACGTTAGGCAGCTATTTACCCACGTTTTCTCAGGTACCACCAAGCCCTATCAATGCTTCCACTGCTGCATCCGTGACGGTTCTTGGCACAGCAAGAAATCAGATTCTGAGGGGATAGATTGGCTGTGTATCGACCCTTAGACTGAATTGCTATTCGGTCAGCTGCCACACCTGTTTCAAATAAAATATTAATTAATATTCAAATGGTACATTTTCTAATAATTTACATATCCTTTTTTATTTGAACTCTAAACTAGCCTTCCGAACTTTATATAATTTAAAATTAAGGCAAAATATCATTAATATATCTATGTATTCCAAAAAATTCAACTGTATCATAATTTCAGTATTAGTTTTTGTTCAATTTTGGTATTGCTCCATTGTCTTATCATCTTCAGAGACTTTTCTAGTTCTTTGCTTCTTTCATGTTTTATAGACTTCTAAATTCTTCATTAAGAAATCTGCCAAAGACTTGTAAAAGGTGACTTTTAAAGTCTCTTCCAGTCCCATGAACCTGCAGATTTCAACTAAAGGATAAGTGTTTTAAATTCTAATGGTATACAGTATGTTGATCTTACAGACATTTCTGAATCTCAGTGAAGGTTTAATCCAAATTCACTAGAAATACTTAGAAAAGGTCAGAAGATTAAAGAATGACTCAGTTTAGCAAATTGTTCTACACTCTCGTTTTGAAAATTTTTATTGGGCTTTACCTCTGAGAGACAATCTATTATTTTCCCTGCTTATTTTATTCTATCCTAAATTTGCTCTGTGGTGTGTATCACTCCCACCATTTCAACCTTTTACTTCTTCATCTTCAGCTTGATATCTTGCTTGAATTTTATTTGGGTGAATAATTATCTATCTATATCTATATCTATATCTATATTTTAATATTTTACATTCCATTTAATACCTTTTAGCTTCTTTAAAAGTCATTTTTTTCTTATTTCAACAATTTCTTGACACAATTTTCAAGATATTTAAAAGAACCTAATTATTCTTTTCTTAACATTTTCAAAAACTAGCATCAGCTTGATTTATCATACTAAATATAAAACTGTATACTCTGAAACCACAAAAATGTTGAAAACCCTCTCTCTGGTATTTTGATAAATTAGGTATGGGGACAAATCCAGACCTAGCCCTATTCTAAGGCCTAGGCCTGTGACCTAGGGACACCAAATCACAGTGTCCAAACTAGCCGAGGAAGTTACTCTCAGCATTTTACCACCAATGACTTTCCTAAGACATTTTCAGAAATACTGGTCTAACCTAAAGTTAAAGCAAAATTCTTATATATTATGTAGGAGATATAATACATTAACCATATGAACATAAAATTACATAAGATTTACCTGATTAAATCTCTCCCCATCCATCTGAAACAGGGCTCAAAGTGGTCCCCCTCTGGATCCCTCACACGGTGAGGCTAAACATCAGAAAGTCAAGGAGCATTTATACTGGGGGAGCAGGCACTAGCATAGAATTAACAGAGGGAAGCACTCCAGAGGTGACCTTGGCCACTGGCATCATTTCTAGAACTAGCTGATACTATGAAGTAATAATATTTAGACAAAGATATCAGTACTTTTCTGTCTCGAGGAGTGCCACCCTTCAAGTGGGCTCCTCTAAGAGTCTATGTACTTATTTTGAAATGATTTCAGTGCTTAGACTGTTTTTGAGTACTCTTGGAATTACCTTTAAAGCTTAGAGCATAGTTTTATAAAGATCTTTGACAGCAGCCAATCAAAATTATGTTAGGTCCAATTTAATTACTGGAATACTACCAACACTCCTTTGAGGATAATTTGAAGACCAAATCTTAGCATTAACCTGAGTATTGATTTATGGGATTTATGAACTTATATGAAAATAGATATAAAAGAGGTATTGTTACATGTTTGAACTAACAGCAGCACTAATTTGGAAGCTACTCTTAAGAGACTAGTTATATCACTTTAGAGTCAGAACCTATATTTTGCTTTTATCTAAAATAAGATAAAACCCATTTAATCCATTTATTTAGTTCTGAATCTTATTATATATCAAATTAGTTTACCAATTTAATATGTTTTTGAAAATCTTTTGAAAATATAAAAATTATATATGTTTTTGAGTATTAATATTACAGGTATTATTATGAATGAAAGGAACCTTATACTCCTCTTATTACCTGCCCTTAACTATAAAGAACAAACAAATTTTGGTAAATTTTCTTTGTTGCTCTCTTGATTTATTTTCTATTTAAAACTAGATCCTAAAAATTAGACAAATTTTCAGAGTAAAATAGATTTTTACATAATCTTCAGATTGCTTTCTCTGGTCAGAATAAGATTTTATTTTAATTAACCAAATGCAAATATTTAAATATTCTAAATTTAAAACCTCTTAGATAAGTATGTATGTTTTTGTTGTTAAAACAATATTCCATAATTATCTTATATAAAATAAATCCTTTTTGCCCTTAAAATAAATAAATAGATAGGTAGGAAGGTAGATAGATAGATAGATAGATAGATAGATAGATAGATAGATAGATAGATAGATAGATAAATAAAATAATGAATGAATGAATGAATAAAAACCTCTTAATTACTGTCCCTAGAGTATCTAAAGTCAAAGAGAGACTTTATAAGGAAGCAATTAAAATGGCTTTATTACTTGCAGTGGAAAATGCCCATGACGCAGCACAATTTTTTTGATCCAATGGGCCATGAGTCCATCCAGGCCATTTATAATAAGCAACAAAAAACTCCGGAAGATCAATTATTGCAGGTACAGCCTAAAGAAGAGGCAGATGTGTCATATTTTTTTTTTAAATATATCTCAATAACCATTATAAGAAAATTCCATGCCCTTTTGTAATGTTTATCATTGCTTTTTATTTTATACATTCGAGTTTTCTGAATGACATCCCTGAAAAGCATTAAAGATTTCTATTTCACATATGTTTAAAAATAACAATTTAATGTGGAGAATTATAACATAGTTACAAAGTCATAAGAATAATCCACAGAATGCTTTTTTCTGAATTACCAATAGTACAAAGATTTCGGCCAATGTTTCTGTCATCTTAAATCAGTTTTGGTTATCCTTGTGAAACACCGGGTGCTATTATTTAAATTCGGCCTCATAAATAATATTTACTTCGTGTCCCTCCTATATTCGAAAGTATGAGTGATTTCATGTAAAATTAATTTTAAAACAATGCATTTGTGGCAATTATGCATTAACACACTTGGAGCCCCAAGGAACACCAATTTTACATCAGCTATTGGGAAACAAAACTGGGACAAATTGGTTGATATTTATAAAATCCTTGAAGATTAAAGAGGACTTCAGGAAGTGTATAATGCCAAATATACAATACCTTTATGTCTTAAGAGCTCATGTTTAAGTCCTGACAGAGTCAATGTCAGCTGCTGTCTTTCCAAGAAGTCAAATTAAATGTTACAGATCTTGCTCTATTCATGTCACTCAAAGAATATCTAAAACACAATGCCCTGTTTTTCCCCAAACTCTTCTAAAGATTGTTCACTTCCATAAACAATCAGGACTCTAACCAAATAAGGATCCATTTATTAATTTTTATCATTTATGCATACACACCTATGTGATATAATCAGGGCAAATATTATTCACTCTACTTTATACATGAGGAAACTTTTAAAATAAAAGGACACACTAAAGCCTCTCAGTTAAATAAGAAATAACCCTGAAACTAGACCTAGGTTTTAGAATTCTTAACACTATGCTACATTTATTATTTCCTCCACTTTATTAGAAATACATGGATATTTTGCAGCAGAAGTAAAATGTCTATAAACGCTAAAATTGTATTTATTAAAGTCTTACGATTGTGCATTGAACAAGTCAGGCTGTTGCTCCAACATCTTATAAACAAAATTACTTACAACAAGTATATAATAGCTTTAAAGACGAAAGGAAAATACAGATGTACATGTTTGTTTGAAAAAGTAACCATCTAAAATATCTATAAATTTGATATTGAATGATAGAATTCAATTTTTGTTTAAAGAACTATTATCACCTGATAAAAAAGTTATTAAATCCTGATGTCCATTACTAGTAACACTGCTATTTAGATGATAGAAGAAAAATGCAGAAAACATCAATCACAGTAGAGTACCTGAACGATAACTTGAAGAGCAGTATAATAGAAATCTAGGTGCTTTTAGATTCTTATGCCATTAGATTGACCACAATAAAAAATTATAATTGGAACAGAATAAATTTACTTCTCTGAGTAGATAGTTTCAGAGATATAGATTCACTCTCCAAAGGAGTCTTTCTAACTGGGACAGAAATACAGTCATTCCTCCTTATCTGCAGTTTTGCTTTCTATGGTTTTAGTTACCCACAGTCAACCATGGTCCAAAAATATCAGATGGAAAATTCCAGAAATAAATAATGCATAAGTTTTAAATTGTATACTGGTCTGAGTAGCATGATAAAATCTTGCACCATCACACTCCATTCCACCCACAACATATATCTATGTCTGGTATATCTATGTTGTATTGCTCCCCATCCATTAGTTACATTAGTAGCCAATTCAATTATCAGATAGGTTGTCGGCGAGAGAGACCACATTCACATAACTTTTATTACAGTTATAATTGTTATAAATTGTTCTATTTTATTATTAGTTATTGTTAATTTCTTACTGTGTCTAATTTATAAATTAAATTTTATCTCAGGTATGTGTATGTGTGTGTGTGTGTATATATATATAGAAAAAATAAGCATATATAAGGTTTAGTACATTCAGAGTCTTGGAACTTATCCCCCATCGATAAGGGGGGACTACTGTACACATTTCTTATACATTACTCATATCTTTCAAATTTATTAGTGGTCTAGGAATGTGCTTTTAAGCATTTATAATACTAAGTTGCCTCAAGTTCCAAAAAAGAAAATGAGTATCAGTTGTTATTTTTTCACTTTATAATTCCAATTTAATACCATAGGAAGGATATTTCCCTTCCATACTATTGAAGCAATAAAAATAAAACTAGTATTTCAAATACATTTCAGAAAGATTGAGTTATTTAGAATTTGACTTCTACATTCCAAAGACCACCTGAAAGCTTTGTGCATGGGAAGTACTTAATAAATATCTAATAATAATGAGGAGAAAATAATGAAGTAGATTTCATTTCAAGAAAAAATAACAATTTTTCCTTTGCGGGCAAATTAAGTTAATTTATAATACCAGTATGCATTTGTTGCTTTTATGATTTATTCAAAAAATATATGTAAATGGCTAATCCTTTTCAATAAGATAAAGCAATAGAGAAACAAGAAGTAAAACAACTTTTTTATTGAAAACAGATTTATGAACCCACTAACCCTGCTCAATTCATGAAGCTCACGTATTGGATCTACCACTTATTCAATATGTTTTCTTTCTAAAAACAAGCCCATAAAATTTGAGGTTCAATGGGCATATATTATCTTGCAATCTTATTTGCCTTATGATATTAAATAACCTTACATAATAAACATGGCAAATTTTATACCCCATGATTACATAATTACTATAGTCCCTTGTAGACTGTTTTTAAAGAGCTTATAAATAAAAAGATAAGCATCGCAGAATAAGAGCTTTTAGGAATTGGCTTTAATAAATACTTTTTTTTTCTTTTAATTTTTTTTTTTGCCAAAGCATAGTTTAACAAAGAAAAAGAATCAAGAAGAGCAGCTGAGTGATAGAAATTTCAAAATAGTGGCTTAAAAAGTTAAAAATTTATATTTTAAAAAGATTTACACTATTACCTAGGGTGTTTTAAATTCTTTTAATTATAATATTGAAAAAAATTAGTCATAATCTAATTATATTTCCAAATTAACAGTAGTCAAATTTGAGGTTAAATTGGAATAGTCTCCTTACTTTGATTATTTCCATTTGGAAATTAGAGATTAAAGATATTGTGAACAAATATAAGAATTAAATGAGAATTTTTTTTACAGTAATGCCTGCATTAGATTCAATCAAAACCTCTGAAAGAATAATGGAAACAATTACAGGGCAGCTTAGAATAAACTAATCAAATTCTGAACATTCTGGACATTCTTAGTATGAGCCCATATCTACACAATATCTACTATATGAGTCATTCCCTCTATCTCTAGTTGCACTTTCTCCTACTTAAATTTGGATAATCAGAGTGACCTGAGAATCAAGGAAGGCAACAGAGAATATCATTCTCTCTGACCTTTACAATACAAGGCCATAAATACCAAGAAATTTCTTCTAAACTATTTGATATTGGAGAGGAAAGAGCTAATTTTCTTGTTGCTAGTGGCAAAATGAATTTTTCATCTTCAACAATATTTGCCTTTATGCCTTAACTCTGAAAGAATTATGCTTTGATACTTCTCTAGTTTGTATTCATAGAGTAATTTTTAAATGATCTACTTCTCGTAAATGTCGATATTCAGTGATCATGCTATAGCAGGTAGTGCTAGTTCTTCTCCAGTTCTTCCTTTTTTCATAGACTTTCCCTTTATTCATAGTAATAGCAATTTTAGCTCAATAAATGCAAGCTCAAAAAAATGACTGCATTATCTAGCACCTCCTGGGCTACTACGTGTGGCTATATTACTAAGTGCTGACCTATTGGATATAAACAGAAGTGTCACTGGAAGCTTCTAAGAACTTTCCTTAAGAGACTTCTGGCACTTTACTTTTACTCCTTTTTATTGATCTCTCTTTTTTTTTTTTTTTCTTTTACTGCTGGCAGGAATTTGGGTATTATAGATAGACATGGAGCAGACTTATTAAACCATTAGAAGGCCTTGAACATGAAGACTCTGGAAAATGGAACAAGAAGGAAGAAGGCTGGGAGGCCAATGCCACAAAGTGCAATTTTAATAGAGGACCACTCACCTCCAGATTTGTTGATAAGAGATCGATTACTATGTTATTTAAGCCACTATTAGTTTGGATATTTGTCACTCTCGGATGAGTCAAATCATAACTAAAACGGCACATATTACCGACAGGAAAGCTGCTAGAGCAATACTATATTTCACTGAACCCAGGATATCAACTGTAAAAATCATCCCAATTTCAGAGGTAAAAAAGTGAAGAAAATGTGCATCTAGAAGTTGATGAACTATGATATTTCCTAAAATGAGTTTCTTAGAACACCAAGAATGTGGTATGATAATACATAATTACAAAAGGAGTTAATTAATCAAATTGTTCTGAGAAACACTGGTTTTGAAAATTAAATAGATTTTTGTCCTCACTGCAATATATTTTTATAAACTACCTAAGTTTTGTGCAGCTATAAGAAATGAAAGTAATATTCATGATTTTAAATGTTCTTGACCCAATGTAAAGTATTTTATTTCATGTTATTTTTACTGTGCAGCAGAATAAAGGACTAGTGTTTCATGAAATAGACTTTGGGGAAAACTGTGGTATGGACTAGATAGATCTAGGCTTGGGGAGGCCAGAAATAGGTACAGCAAATCAACACACCAAACCGCCTCAGGAATCCACTTAATAGCCCCAAATATTTATTGATAGACAGAGAGAAAATGAATTTTCACATTTCTTTTCGAAGATTTGTCTTGTGATGATCAATTCAGCCCCATGGTGCTGTTCAAGTCATGTTCAATTATATCACAGAGTTATGGATCAGACTGTGACTAAATATGGAAAAATAAAACTATAAACTCAGAAAATGATTTGAGAGAGAAGACATTCATTCTGCCACAGATTCAGCTGAATAAGGAGTAAGGCTGGAT